GTTTGGGTTTTTTTACCTTGCAGAGGAAAATGAACTCCTACAGCAAACTCTTCTATGCCAAAACAGCCATGACACATCACCTCCATCAATGCTGACAACTTGAAATTTGATGTAGACATAATTTGCTTATGACAAGAAGGATTTGTTCTCACTTATTTTATTCTTCTGTAAATTCTTAAGCATGTCAATATTTGTGTTTGATATGCCCACGAACACATGCAGATCATAGCAAAGACAACTACCTGTACTGTTTTCCACCAAAAAATTAAAAACTTCTCAATAACACATGACTTGGACACGGCAGTCTGCAGACAACAGACAACACTTCCCATTTCAAAATCTAATTTACTTTTAGCAGGACAAGGCAGGCCAATCATTTGTTGTGAAACAAAGGGAAATGCTCAAACAAATGAACTGTGTCCTTCTAGATGCAGGCACATTGTTTCAGTTCTTTGGAGTCCAAATTCTCCAGGTCACATGGAGTGGCAAGCTGCTGCCAAAGCCAAGTCTGCAATGTTTAAAATACTACTCTTTGCCTCATTTTTCCTATCATGGCTTTGTGCTGCTAAATACACCCTTGACCTCCAAGTAGTCTTAAAAGAATAGTCATCTCCATTATCTCAATCAATAAGTCTTTACAGCTGATGAAAACAAAACCAAGTAGCCCTGCTGAAAGCTGACATGGGCTGTGCACACAGCGAGCTGCAGGGAGAGGTGCAGTGGCACTGGGTATCCTCACAGAGGAGGGGAGGTGTGCTTCAACACACATCGCCAAACCTGCATCCCACTGTAAACCAAGCAAGCTGTTACCTTAATGTGTTCAGCTTAAATGCCTTAACATGTGTTTCGATCAACTTGCTGGACTGCAGCTTCGTGTCATCTAAAATCAGATTCTAACACACCTTGGATTTTCCCAGCTGTCCTCCAATTTCTCTGTGCTATACAGAGTGAATCGCCCACACAGCAGCATAAGGCAGCCCTACCTATAAGTCAGCAAAGGAAAATTAAGACAACCAAAGGGCTTCAGAGATACACTTTTTGCTTTCCTTTGCACATGTGAGACATTGAGTTCAGTAGCAACATTTTTACAAGGGCATGTAGTGATAGGACAAGGGGGAATGGCCTGAATGAGAATAGGAGTTAGATTAGGTAGCAGGAAGAAATCCTGTACTGTGAGAGTGGTAAGACACTGAAAAAGGTTGCCCAGAGAAATTGCCCCATCCTTTAGAGTGTTCAAGAACAGGTTGGATGGGGCTTTAAAGCAACCTGTTCTAGTAGAAGGAGTCCCTGCCTATGGCAGGAGGGTTGGAAGAAGATGATCTTTAGGGTCCCTTCCAACCCCAACCAATCTATGATTTAAAAGATTGAATTAACAGCACACTGGAGCCATGTAAGTAGAGAAGAACACCACATCTGAGAGATATGAACTCCTCTAACATTAAGGAGTAACTCCTGTAATCACAAGATCCAGGGAGCAGGTCACCCACCAAAAAAAAAAAAAAAAAAAAAAAAAAAAAAAAAAAAAAAAAAAAAAAAAAAAAAAAAAAAAAAAAAAAAAAAAAAATTAAAAAAAAAATCTTCCTATACCATTGCCCATGCAACTTCACTAAACTGAACAAGAAGCTTCAACACGACATTCTGGATTTGCCTGCTGGCAAGAGCACAAATTAGAAATGGTTTAGCAGCTGGGAAATATGGGGTACCACTAACATGGCACATACTGCTTAAATAAACTAAAGCAGAACTCTCATATGAAAATTAATTTATTTATACATTGTTTGGGGGCAGTCTGTATATAACTCTGAAATGAGATTAATATTTTTTTCCATCAGAATAGAAGGTTTGAATACAGCATGACAAAGGGATCTTTGAACTAACAGCAGAGGGGAAGGCATAATGTTTGTAGTGGCAAAGTGCTGTAGGTAAAGACAAGGGCAGTTCCAGGGAGAAACAGAATACCCTGCTTGGATGTTAACCAGCACAAACTAAAAGTGGCTCCTTTCAACAGTTTCTTTCCCATTTAAGAATTGCACAAAAGCAAGAAGATGCAAGAACAGAGCTTATATGCAACACTGACCAGAAAGAAATACCTGGTTTAACATTCCTCAAGTGATTTTTTTTTTTAATACTAATTTTCTTCTTATTGAGCTGTATTGCTATTTTGTTACTAATGAGAGAGCAATGAATGTATGTATTTCTGTGTTGAAGGGCAGCCTGCTCAGCTGGGACATTTCAAGAGCATACACTGGTGCAGTCTGGTAGGGATCCCCATTAAAATCATTGAGCAAAAGCATGCACACATTTCTTAATTCAACATGTCATCCCTCTAAGGCCTGGGGACCTCACTTCAGCAAGTATTCTAAAAACATTTTTTCAAAGCTGGAATAAGCCAACACAATTGACATGTCCATAATAATCTTGTTTCCTATTACCAACTGGCACTGATTTCTACCATGTAGTAGTCTGTTTAATAGCCAGAACATGGTAAATATAATTTAAATACAGTATATGGTCGTATTATTTTTTTCTGTTCGGCTTTGATCTTCTTTTTCTCTTTGTTTCACCATTAGGATCCTTTTTCACTGGGATTTCTTTGGGTTTTTTTTACTTAAAACTGAAGTCCCTTTATTTAACAGCACTTTTCACACAGTCCCTATTGCAATGAAACAGTATAGTCCCTGTCAATATCCCCAAATGCAACAAATCATTAACTGCTTTATCTGCCACAAGGTAAGCAAAAATTTAAACATTTCCAAATGCTCTTAGCAATGTATCCAGTATTTCCTCTACAAATTCATTTCCAATATTGTTGCAAAACCAGCAAATAGAGTTCTTGAAAGACTTAATAATAAGACTGTTTATGTAATTACCCCTCTTCCCTCAGCACTTGGGAGATCTCAAGGAGTAGGCCTACTGGAGACCATATTTTAGAAGCAGTCAGAGAAAATGAACAAGTCCAACAGATTTAAGGAAACATAATTCATATTAATGAAATTGGGGGGTTTTGTCTGCTGGGGATTTTTTAACACCCATGGATGGGTGGTAACAGCCCTCACATCTGTAAAAGCCTGACTGGAGGAGGAAGATGACTATCTTTCTCCAAGTCCACTGAAAAGTAAGAAAATTGCTGCCAACTTGCACGACGTTCCAGAGACAGGATCATGAAATGCACCGCCTGCAATTCTCAGGAAAGCAGTGGGGAACCTTTTGCTGAAGGTTTTTCAGAGACACATTTTGTTTGGTTTGGTCAGCACAAACTTCATCTTGCTGGAGGCTCGGGGGACAACTCACTAGCTGACCAGGCAGGCCTGTCTTCATGATCTACAGCAAGGCCGGAGGGGACAGATGTGACTTAGGAGAAGACCAGAAAGTTTGCAGATGCTGGGTCAAGCAAGTAACCATTTATAGGGTCCAAAGGGCTTTTGAGGAGAAGGTGCCAGCATGATACTTCATTACTGCAAGACTGCCACCAGCACAGAGGGGTACTGCAAAACCACTGGCGCCCTCATTGTCAGACCTCACAATGAAGAAGGGTTTGGGAATTCCACCTAAGGAGGCTCCACCTAGGAACTCCCAGGGTGCCACCATCACACTGCAGCTGTGCAGAGCCACCACCTGCAGTGCCACAGCTGCTGCTCATCACCAAAGCCCTTCCCTCCATCTGCTACCACCGCGGGTTTTGTGGCCACTTTTGGATAAACAGTTGTGCTAGCTTGGTTTAAGTGAAAAGCTGTTCAGTATGCCAGTAAAAAAAAATTCCTCTATTTGAACAGATGCGCTTACAAGTTCTGCATGAATAAATAATAAAATGTAACTTTTTTACAACTCAAAAGCCAACGTTATGGGCAAACGTGACATTTTGATTTGGACGCATCACCAAAGCCTATATCTTGTCCTGGGACTTGGGAGAGAGTTCCACTCAAAACCAAATAAATTAAAACAAAAATAAAATGAGAGAGCCTAAAAGAATACATAGGTCATTATTATTTCAAAGTCACTGAAATCACTGTGGAGGTACCAAAGTAACACAAAGTACAAGATTTAAATTATTTAGAGTATAGCATTTAGGAACATGTCCACTTAGAGGTTAGAGGGTACAGGAGGACAGCTATCCAACATCCGACTCCATCTTCTGTCCTGCTTATAACCATATGCATTAATTACAAAAATTATAGATACATGCTGCTCATAATTGCTATTACTGATAACAACATAACAAAACAGGTATTTCTAAGATATAGTCACAACCAGAAGTGAAATAGAATACTGAGCAATGTCAGTATGGTCAGAACAAAACCAATCAGAAAGCAGAAGTAACATAACATACTTCTATTGCACCTGTGTATAAGAAACCTTATTGGAAAATTTATCATTCATCCAGAAAGCTGAATTGTAGTTTAAAAATAAATTATTGCATGAGAAATGAAAGCAAAACCAAAGTTTGATTTCATTGTACATGACTGAGGTCAAAGCACTTAGAAAGCAATTCCTGTGATAAACTCTGGCACTCTATGTGCAATATTTATGCACTGAAGAATAGCAGCTAAGGATATTTTAAATATATACCTACAAAGGTCAGTAACCTACCAAATGATGCTGGTCTCAGCACCAATAAAACTAATAGGAATTATGAACAGGAAATTATAATTTTCTTGATAGTCTTAATAGCATTATAAAGATTTTTACACAAACAGAGCATAGAATATTTTGTAGAATCCTGGAAAACAAATATTTAATTATGCTTTCTCAGGGGCCACATATGATCCACATGATTATAATTGTGACGTCCATAGCACAAACTCCACTGGAATATCTAAAACTTTATATCCTGGGGAAAATGTGTCACAAATCCCTGCTAGTTCTGAGAAAAATATTATTAACTTTCTCTGTCTCATAGTCCCTTGATATCACACTGCAGATCAAGTTTCCAAAAAGGCTGATTCCTGAGGTAACCAGACATATTTGACATACATGGATGCACACAAGGAGCCAATACTCACAGCTGAAGATGCCTGGAGGTGGATGCTCTGTTACAAGCAGGCAGTTCTCTTCATCACTGTTGTCCCCACAGTCATTCTGTTGGTTACAAATCAGTGAACCAAGATACAAGCATTTACCACTGGCGCAGGTGAATTTGCACTCTGAAAGGCAAAGAAGAAACCAAAACAAAAATTTTTGAGAAAATTGAAACCTACCCTTCTTCAGTGCTGAAATTACAATCTTTTTCAAGTAGATGCTATAATGGTGGGTGGGTCTTCAGCATTTCAACACCAAACAAGCAGCTTTGTCCTTACAGCATTGCATGTATAAATATATACGTGACAAATTCCTAATCACCAGAATCAAACCACTAGTAAACCAGATTTGCCACTTGGGAAAATTCACCTTTTAATAATAAGCAATATTTTTTGCAGTTAATGTTGATTATAGTTCGTTTTGGACGAAGACGGTGTTCTCATATACATTTGTGTGGTACCTTGCATATCTGGGGCAAGACAGCAGTATTAATAAAAATAATAATTGTCCCACATTAAAAAAAAAAAAACCAAAAAAAACCAAAAAACCAACATTTTGCATCAGCTGTAAGGTAACAGTATAGTTTGTAACCAGGAACAATCCTGTTCAGACACAGACAATCAGACAATTATTCCTTAACTACCTTCCCAAAGCAAATTTGCCAGTCTCCCCCCTAATTACAGTCAAGCATTTGGTGTCTGCACATTAAAATCCCACATGCAAGTGTTCTTTCAAAGTTAGTAAACTTCTAAAATGCCTGTAAGATGTCTGAATGCTAAATGCAGGCATGCTGTAGCTTTTATGGTTTGCTTTTACCAAAAATAAAGAAGAACAGTTTCCCCTAAATATGATTCTGTCATGAGAACAATTCCTATGAGACCAAATATACGTTATAGCAAGTACTGGAGATGTAATTAGGAAATGTTCACAAAAATATACACACAATTATGAAAAACTTTCTCACTAGGATTGTTCCAAAGTAAAATACACATAAAGAACAGAGAACACACTATATCTAGACAAACTAAAATTTAATGATTACACTACTAGTATGTTGACAAATTCTGGTGATTGTCATTCACAAGCAGAGGCAAAGCAGACAGAATTAGAAACTCTCACAAGTAGTTTATTAAAGGAGTGCCATTCCCTGAACCCTGGGCTTCCCTAAGACTACAGTATGTGTTGGCTGATTCTGCTTCAGAGAGATGATTTCTGGTCTTTCCCAGCAAAGTGGTAGAAATAAACTGATCTTCAACAGTATCAGCAAAAGACTTTGCTTTACTCTTAACTCAGTCTGAACTGAGACAACAGGATCTCCAATGCCAAAAAGTCCCTAAATCACCTACAGAGGTGCAACACTCACTCTATTGCATAATGCAAGCATGGTAATAGCTAAGGAGAGAAAAAATAAATTGAGAAAGGGAAAAAATTCATTTTCATTTTTCATTTGCTTTATATATAAAAGCAATTTGCAGATTTCACTCTGAACACTTCTCAAGACGATTAATGATGTTTTGGTACACATACCAGCAAGAACCTGCTGCAATAAAAAATTGTATGCACAAATATGTGTAACATATAAAATGATACTTAGGAATATAAATAGAAGGTATGAAAGGCAAGGAAAACAAGCATTTCCTATGGGGGAAAAAACTGATCTATTTTGCTTGGTGAAAGTGTACTTATAAGTATTTGCCTAAAATGGGGTCCTCAAACTTAAGCTTTTTTTCAGTCCCACCCTGCAGTCCCTGACCTATTAAAATTGTAGAATAAAATACTGTACAAATAAATTATTTTCTTCTGCTTGTTACTCTGTTCTTCTCTGCAACAACAAAGAACTGAAGAGGCATTGAAGTGCTTAAAGATCATAACCAAATGAAGTAAGCCTTTGAAACCCATGGAACTGAAAAGGTCATTAACAATTACTTCTAGAAAGAAGACTTAAAAAACCAGGCTCAATATTAGTAATCTCATAATTACAATGCTTTAGGACTCATTTCTGCAATTTCATGAAAAAACTGGAACAAGAAATGAACAAAGCTGTCTTGGAAGGTTAGAAAAGTTGCCTTGAAAGGAGTCGAACTTCCCAGGTATCTTAAGTGAAGAATATCACACATATTAGAGTGGTAAAGAACACAGTGCTTCTATTAGAAAGAATCAATCACCATACTGCAGTTAGAATATATGGCATGCTACTTTGTCTAGCTTTTACTGCTTTCCTGTGCCTTTGTGTTGAGTCCTAATGTAATGTTTTTCATGCTTCCCCCACAGCTGATATAAAATGCTCAAGCAAGATGTCAAGTCAAAAGCAGTTAAAGCTAAAAACACAAGGTGTCTGTTTGCCACCAGATTATACAGTTTTCACACTAAAGACTAGACAAAGCATTATATTTTTCATATATTAAAGTCTTAGAAGTTCTGGGGCTTAACTAAAATTATCATAAGAGGACTAACCAGAAGAAAGGATTTGTGATTTAAGGTGAACTGGGGGGAGGGGGGGGGGGAGCAGGGGGGGGTTTATCATAGATAACAGACCACACTGAAATTTAGAAACAAAAAGCAGACTTAATCAACTTTTCTTGTAAAATATTAAGGCTATTTCCTCATTCCCTCACACATGTGAAAATAGCCATTGTGAAGGTGTATTAAAAAAAAGTCATGAGGCCTCTTGTCCCCTTTTTGATGTGCCCACATGGACTGGAAGATTGCTCACAATAGGAATTCTGTGTTGATTTGAAAATGGGACGTGTTGTTAAAAATCATGTTGCCTTCTGATCTCCCACCAAATCTATTTGCCAAAGAAGCAGTCATCCTCTATTGGCCCCGATTGGGATGGAGTTAACTTTCTTCATAACAGCCCCTGTGATGGCTAACACCAAATAGTCAGCGTTGGACAGTGTTGATGTCACAACAATGTTTTGGTTAGTGCTGAGCAGCACCGCGTATCAACGGGGCTTCCTCTTTTTCTCATTCATGCATCTGCAAATGTAACATCTGTATCTAACAAAATGTAATATCTAGTGGTAGACACAAAATTGCAAAACTTAGTCTGCATAATCACATTCTGTTGAAGTCTGAAAGAAATATTCCAAAAAAATGTATTACAGGAATAGATAAATTAATTAAACAGATTATTCAATGAAAAAACAGATACTTCTGACCATAGAACATACTTAGGATCTGGTATTTGCAACTTGCGAACAAAAAATTCAGTACCTTAAATTAGTTTGCTTAGTGAATACATTTAAAGAGTGCTTTTTCTAAAACCAGAGAAGAATCCTTCCTTGTAAAGCAAGATGGATCAAAGTCTGGTTGAGGGAGGTAGTAGAATGCAAATACTAGAATGTTTTCAAACTAAAATAAACCTGCAGAGGTGTGTACCAAAATACAAGGAGTGACCTCAAAACACTCTGACCAGGGAATCCAGACCAGTCCAGACTAAACCACTGTGCCTAATGACACACCAGAGAGCCCTTTTTAGTACAAAGTCTTGTACTTGGCCTGTCTAGACAAGACAGGGGGGAAAGATCCTGTTCTGAAAACATGCCAGCATGATCCTTCTTTCATGAATAATGTTTCAAAGCTAGACAGTTTCCTTTTTCATTTTCAAGTAGCAATTAGTGAAACATCAGTAGGTTGGTCAGCAAGGCTCTGACTAGAGCTAAACCTGAAGCAAGATGACAGCTACTGAAGGTTGAAAAATATCAACCCTTCTTATAATTATGTCTTACTATGTTCATAATTTTGTTTGGAGCATACTTTAAAAAACCCTATATGATACAGAGATTCTTCAACATAGAATTTTAATAAATGTACTTCCAGGTAGAACTCGACTATCTTGGGAAAAAAAGGAATTCTGAGAATAATACAACGAACATTCCCTATTTTTAGAAACTGAATGCAAGTAGGATAAATAAGTATATTGCACACATGTTCAAGGTAGATGCTTGTATGCATAAAACTCTCTACAATTACCAATATATGACTGCATTTCAAATAGTTTCAAACAGTTAATTGAAGGTTATGTTTCTGTTGCTACAGCAGAAGATGGATTTGCCTCATGATACAAAAAACCTACCCTGATGAGATTTTTTTTACTGTGAAATGGAAGATCTGATATATATTGGGTAGGCTTATTTTATCTGTGCCTAGCCAACAAGATAATTTTATCCTTGCATTCAGCTTAATTCTTTTAGACTTCATTTACACTTGACTTCATCCATATGAACAGCATTCCCATTGTTCTGTCATCCCACTTACTGTAGGGCATTTTTAATTATAGCTAAGTGATGTTTGTTTTTCTAATGTAAGCCCAACCACAGGCCAAGGAAAAAAAGCAACAAAGTGTCATATTGAAAAAATATGGTGGTTTAAGCCACTGTTATGATGCATGTCACAGCTGCTTATTTAACGGGTCTGAGATGATTATCTGACCCAGGGGCAGAATTCTCTTCCATCCATTCGAATAAAAAATTAAAAAACTCTGTATGCAGCCAGTGATTTCAAACTGTTGTGACTAAACTGTAGTAACGCGGTTCAAACGCACAAAGTGAAATCCTAATGATGTCTGGGACTCCACCAGAGCGGAAAGGCACTCTCCCAAAATCCAGTGACTGGCAGCTGCCCGGGCAGCTCAGCCAGCAGAGGGTGATCAAATACTCTGCTGAAGTAATGTAAATGGAAGAGGCTCTCTTTGCCTCCACGTGGGTGGACCTAGATCTCCAGAATAAAGGCCTAATTTCTTATTTCTTATGTAAAGACACCATTTTAAGTACATCATCATCATACTTCTTTATACTCCTGCTCATATTGCAGCATGTAAGAGCCTGAAAGAAAATATGTTTAAAGGGCACCATCACCTGTTATAAGGATAATAAGAGGCAAAAGCAGTAAATTGGGGAGGACAGGAGGAACCACACTTCACTAGAGATTAAAGAAACATAAACCACAAATACCAGAGTCAGTACAATAAAACCCTGTTCAGCCTCTCATAAACATCTGTCTGTGTATTATTTTTAATATTGTAGATTGTAGCTTTATAATGGGAAGTAAATCATAAATAGGAGACATGCACACAAGGAGCATGTTTATTTGGGAAAAAGCTTGGTTAATAAGGAAGATGGCA